AGCATTACTGAGCTTTTGTTGACACTGATTTCACACACCAAAAGAATTAAAAGGAAAAGTCGTAGTGGGTATTTTGAAGACAAAAGCAATGACACAATCGGTAGAGGAGACAGAGAGAGGTGAATGCACTGTCAACAGAATTGACAAATCACTTTGTATACCTTGAGGTTGGACTATTACCAAGATTCATGTGACAGCGCATCTCACAGGCAGTTATGGAAAGGAAAATTAAATAGAGGCAGTGCCTTGTGGGTTGAATATATCCTTATATGCACTTGTTTGGCTAGGAGTCTGGAAACGAGTGGAAAGTGCTGAACGAGAATTTATTCAAAAGAAGAAAAACTGTTTAAAAAAAAAAAGACAATAAAAATTTGCACTTTATCAAAGCTCTCCAGTGAATATATTTTTACTGCATTTTGGGGCCATTAAATGACCTTTTTAGCATCCCCTCATAAAATACTTCATAATAAAATGGACGCTGCTAATGAACAGCCTTGTGATTTTCTTGATTAGGGTGATTTCTTCTTTCCCCTTTTTAAAGGTAAGGACCAACATCTTAAAGAGATGCCCATACTAAAACAGAGGAACCTGTTCTTGTGGTTCCCAGTTGGGTAGTTCATTGAATTATGAGGTATCTTTGCCCCATTGTGGTTGGGAGGAGATCCCAGTAACCATCCACAAAGCTCCTCAATTATCCATCTTTAAATCCGTCCTTAAAACTCTGGCATGACGCCTACAAAAATCCTGACAATAGTTAGGCAGTGGTTTTGGCACATCAGCAGCCTATCTTGTTGACAATACTGTCTCATTGTTTCCTTTTCCTCTCCTGTCTGTCAACATCCTTCTTTTGTTTTATACTTAGACAGTAAATTATCTGGGCAGGGACCATCTTTTCATTCTGTATTTGTACAGCACCTAGCACAATGAGGTTCTGTTTCATGACTGTGGCTCATAGGTGTTGTACTAATATAAATAAATAATGATAATTGTAGGACCAATGAGTCTTCAGAGCTTCAAGTTCTGTTTTTGAAACTTTGAACCCACAATGTTTTAGTAGGCTCAAAATTAACCAGAAACTTGCACATCCAGCATTAGAGATATGGTAATAGGTATACCCCAAGTCTAAGAGATTTCTTTCACTCTAGAAAGCATATTTTTGGATAACAAAAAATAAAGGTAAGAATCCTTTACATTCACTAGTGTTCTTAGTATCAGATATGAAAAACAGAATATTCAAAAATAGGAGTAAGTACAATATTCATTGTAGGGTTTGTCCATACTCTTGCCCAAACTCTCTTCTCAAAAAGACCCATTAGGTTCTACTGAAAGTTCAAAAGCTGTCTTTTCTAGTTCATGTCTATACAGCTTTGACTCCACAGTATGAGAACTCTAATCACATCATAAAAGAGCTGATAGGGAATGTGGGATGGACTGGAAATGAGCTGGGACTATTTTGTTTTATTCAGATAATAAAATTAAAAGGGTATCCTTCCCAGCAGATGCAATTTCCAGCATTGTAGAAAACGGTGACACTGCAGAACAAAGATTTAATGCATTTATATGGAAAAATAATCAGTAATAGAATAACTTTCCATTGTTAGGTTCCATAAATTAGGTTCTCAAATCTATGAATGTGCACCAGAGCCACTTGCAAGTCCAAGCCCATTTGTCTGCATATCCTTCAGACATGCACAAGCTGATAAAAACCCATGCAAATACAGTAATGATCCGATTTTCAAATGAGCTCCACACCCAGCAGTAGTTATTAAAGTATGACTCTACAAATATCACCATTGCATGACACATATACACCCTGTTTTATTCCAAACCAACATCTCCCTCCCCTATGAAGGAACACTGGGCTCCCAAGGCCAACCATAAAAACGGCCATACTGGGTCAGACCAAAGGTCCATCTAGCCCAGTATCCTGTCCTCTGACAGTAACCAATGCCAGGTACCCCAGAGGCAATGAACAGAACAAGTAATCATCAAATGGTCCATCCCCTGTCACCCATTCCCAGCTTCTGGCAAACAGAAGCTAGGGACACCATCCCTGCCCATCCTGGCTAATAGCCATTGATGGACCTCTCCTCCATGAATTTATCTAGTTCTTTTTTGAACCCTGTTATAGTCTTGGCCATCACAACATCCTCTGACAAAGAGTTACACCATGCCAGCATGTGCCCTTAGAATGCAAGGACATCAGGGCAAGAATCCTATAGTTGCTCTGGCACAGCTCTCCAGTTGTGTAATACCAGGTATACCAATAGTGCTAGATAAACAGTCAATTGTGCCAAACTTTCTATTGAACTAACATGTCATTTTTAAGTGTTTGTTTTTTCTCTCCCCCACGAACCAAGATATACACAGGAAGAAGGAAAGATACCATGTGACAATGGTAAAGCACCAAGGAGCAACTTCCTTGTAACACTGAACAGGGAACTTATTAAAACAAGAAAAACAGCATTATTTCTAAACCTACTCTGTCCCTCAATCTGTTTAACTGCAGAGCTTCTGCTTAGACCTTCCCCAGACCTTCCCATCTCGCTCCCTGCTTCAGATTTAGGGAACAGTAAGTACAGATATCCTCAAGGAAAGTTTCTCCTTGTATTTTGGGGGGGGGGGGGGTTCTGCTTATTCCCTCTAGTTTTAGTCCCTTCATCACACCTCTCCCAGTGACTAGAAATGGAAACCTGAAAACTGAGAGAAGCAGGAAAATGTGTCTTCATTCCTTACTATCCCAGTCAAGGTCCCTTGAAGTCACCTAACTAGTTCTGGTTTCCCCAGTAAGGTGGCAGACAGGAGAGCTGTTAAGAACTCTGAAAAAAAGCAGCATAGGCGAAAGTAATTACATTTTACCACTGTCAACTACTATAAAGGATGTGTCTAATGTCCCAAAATGAGGCATACTAGGTTGGCTGTATTGTAACAGTAAACACTGGATTCCGGTGACTGTAATAAATTTGGCAACCATGACCTATGTCAGGTGACTAGGAAACAAAATCATCTTGCTGGTTCAAGATTCACTAGTGCGCTGGTTTTCAACCTTTTTTCATTTGTGGACCCCTAAAAAAATTTCAAATGGAGATGCAGACTCCTTTGGAAATCTTAGACATACAGCTTGAAAACCACTGTTCTATGGTAAAGACAACCTTTTGTGGATCCCTTAGACATAGTCTGAGGAGTCTCAGGGGTCCGGGGACAACAGGTTGAAAATCACTGCACTAGTGTAATAATTGGGTGACACACAGGAGGGCTTGCAAGTGACTTGACTTTATTTCCTGGCTCCATGCACTTGACGTAGGTCAGATTGCAAAATTCATGCCCCTGTCATCTGACAGGTTAATAACCTCCGAAAAACATAACCTTCTTTTGGCTGGAAAGGAGTGGAACAAAGTACATACTCCATGGGACTGTTATTTGGATAGCATCCACTCACCTATGGAGGTTCTTGGTGATTTTTCCTCCCTGCCCTTGTAGGTAAAATAGTTCTGGCAATGACAGCACTTAATGTACTCCCCCACTATGCAGGACGCATTTACTATGAGTGCTTCCACTGCAGCCCAGCAGATACATCTGAGCTGTTTTTATATGTATTTGGCCACACAAGTAGCTTGGTCTGAATTTTCAGGGGAAAGTGATGTGGAGAGGGGGCAGGAATAACACAAGGGGAGAAAAAAGTTCAGAACCTGTCCTCTTATCCTCACAGGGACTGTGCCCATACTTAGCATCTTTGAGGGGCTAAGGGAGATTTTAAAAAAAATCAAATTTCATCAAGAGAACTTTGTAGACCTGAATAGCTCTTATCTCTAGAAATCTTAGTGGTTGCTTGCCAAGATTTTCAGAAGTGGGTGGCTAGTGATAATGGATGCCTAACTTGATACGCCTTGATGAGTTCTGATTTTTAGAAAGTGCAGAGCACCAATGTGCTAAAAGAATCAGACTCTTTCCTGGCACCAAAAAATAACTAGTCACTTGAAAACCTTGGCTGTTGTTCAAAAGCCTGCTCTCAATTTTGTGGTCCTGGCTTGCCTGACTCAGCAGTGTTTTAATACTTGCGACTTGTTGACAGCCACATAAGGCTGTTAAGCTCCCAAAAGGAGTAAGTTTTGTTTCTTTCAGATTTTATCCCCTATCATCAAAATTGTATTTGGACTATACACTCTACACCCTGAATGGACTCAGATAGCTATTTTCAGAGATGGGGAGTTAGATTTCATAGTGGGCAGGCACACCCTTGTTATCTCCTGTGTGTGCATTGGAGTGCATATCTAGCACTGATGCACAAAAGTATCTTCAAGGGACTGCAGAGATGTGAACTATGACTATGTTCTGGTTTTGTCTGTCCCTTCCAGATAGTGCAGGTCCTGAGTCTTCCTATCACAGGACAGATCATACCTACTGGGGTATATGAGGCAGGGAATGGGCTCAGGAAACCTAAAAAAGCTTTTTAATAATAGTTACTGGAGCACAGGGTAGGTGTTTATAAACCTGTCACTTAATGGAGACTTATCCATCCATATACTACAACAGGATATATTAATACTTAGAAGGCTGTTGCATAAATATCACAAAAGTTGGATTTTAAGGTTTCTTATAAACCACTGAATTTAAAATGAAGAAGCTATAGCTATAGTAGAACAGCAACAGGCTGCAGCAGGGTGTACTTTCCTGAAGGATAAAAGCCTTCTACTTCACAATCTAGCCAAGGCATGTCTTGCCCTGTAATGCACACCACAGCAAGGTGTGCTACTTAACACTTGCAAAAGAGTTAGAAGCTTGGCACTCATAAACCGCTGTGAATTAACAAGCTTGCCATAGTTATGTAGAATTAAACAATAACGAATACAAAATATACAGTTAATGGGGTTATTCTCTTGCATAGACTCAAGGACAGGAAAGTGGCAATTGCTGATGCTGTTCTTATGCAATTGCTCTTTTCAGTGGGTGGAAAAAAAGAACGTTCCCCCTCCCACCACAATGGTAAATAGCTCCCTTCTGTTATAAATGGGAGCCAGTGAGAGGATTGAGAGTCTGCCTTCCAAAGGGAGGGACCTGTTTCATTTTGGTGAGATCCCCGAGGGGAAGGTGTGTGGCAGAATGAGTGCCAAACCGAAGACCTCCGCTGGAATCATCTGGGCTCCTTTTTCAAAAGGACAGGTAGAGTGTTTCCAATTTTTCTAAAAATGTGCTTGTGTTTTAGACTGGAAATTATGAAGCCACTACTGTCTGTGACCTTTGTTCCTTGTTTCTCTTGGTCTCATTCTCTTTATTAGAAAGGGGGGGCATAAAGAATATCGAGTAAGCTACATGTCTAGCAGTTTTCCACAGCTCTGAATGAGAAGGCACTTTCACCCATGTCAGTCCCACAGACAACACTTAGCTTTGTTTTGTTCTTAGTGCAAATGTTATATTTCAAAAAAGTTCAGTTAAATTCTGTTTGGTTTGAGCAATTGAAGCACAAGAGAAGTTTCTCTCTCCCCACACCAGCTTTGCAGACCTCAAAACTCCCTTATTAATATATTGCACACTTGTCATGAACAGAGTCTTCATTCATGGACGAATGCTGCCCTTGTAAATATGAGCAAAAAGTTGGGTTAAACATAATTACACTATAATTGTTAGAAATTTGCAGTCTTTATTTGTGTAATATGGGAGTTCTCCTAATCTTAATGACATCTTGCAGGGAGGAGTTCCGGATATACACCTGCCCGAGCACATTGAATCAGTGCAGTCATGCTTATTTCAATAATTAGTCACGGCCTACCCAATGCCTCTGATGTGATTATACTTGCTTCCAGATTACACCCTCCACCATCGTATATGTAATCTGCTTCCAAGAACAATGTTTTCTCCTTTAATTATGAAGATGGTAACTCTGCCCACACACACACAGATAGGAGGTTCATGGCAGCGACATAGGAAATAAATACACAAGTAAAGAGAGAATACTGGTATAGAAATATTAGCTCATTAACTTTAGTGATGCAATACTATTCAAAAACAAATACAAAGAATAAAAAGCTGGTTGGAAAATGTTTTTCTGCAGGAAAAAATTTTTTCAGAGGAAAAATTAAAAACTGAAATGTTTCAGTTCTGAAGTTTTGCCATTGTGTCTCATGTGAGTTGTAATTCAGATGTATCTTGCTCCTGTTCTCCTCTACAAGCCAGGCTCCATCTCCCATAATGTATCACAGTCTCCCCTCAGTGGGGTTGTAGGGGTGGGAGGGTGAGGCATCATGGGAATCATGTGCCATGGTACATCATGAAAGATGAAGTCCAGCTGGGGGCCTGGCCCACAGATGAGAATAGCAGTATGAGGCACCACAGCAGCACTTCACAAGTGAAATGTCTCGGTATTCAGGTTTTTTTTTTTGGGGGGGGGGGGAGGGGAAGCAGATAATTTTAACAAATAAATTGTTTAGTCTAAAATGCAATTTTCCATTGAAAGTCAGGTTTGATGGAAATTTTCAATCAGCCCTAGTCTGTTTAGAAATTCCTACCTTGATCAGCTTTAAGCATTCCAGTGGCAAAGCTGACCACTGTCTAGGTGGTCTTCCTATATAAACAATATGACGATATGACTAAACAGTGTTATATAGAAAACTAAATTTAAGTCACCTTATTTTCAGGGGTGCTGCCCCTCTAGTTAAAAATCAATGGCAGTGGTAGGTGTTCAGCACTTTTAAAAATTAGGTTCTCTTTTGTAAGGCTTTTCCTTCAGATAAACTTACTGCATCACCCCCAAGCTGAGCTTTTCCTTAGGAAAAACCCTGCCCTCTTCAGCCTGCTGTAAGGCTGGTTCTTCAAAGCTGTAAGGGCATGGTCTTCAGTCCCTTTTTATTCAGCTAGCAGCATTACCCTGTGCTGTAGCCCAGTTCAGCTTTGTCTCAGAAACAAAAGTACACACACTGGAAGAGAAACAGATTCTCTTTCCAGCCTGGCATGTGCTTGCTCCTGTTACCAGTACGCTCTCTTTCTACACTCTTGTGACGGATTGGATCACAGAAACCGCCTTGGGAACTGCCAACTGATGTGCCAAGACTACTTCTGCCCCTGCTTTCCTGCCCTGGCAGCTTGGGACTTCAGTGCCCTGCTTGGTTTGAGCCAGACCCGCTAGCCCAGGGGTTCTCAAACTTCGGGTTGGGACCCCTCAGGGGGTCATGAGATTATTACATGGGGGGTCGCGAGCTGTCAGCCTCCACCCCAAACCCCGCTTTGCCTCCAGCATTTATAATGGTGTTAAGCATATAAAAATGTGTTTTTAATTTATAAGGGGGGGTCGCATTCAGAGGCTTGCTGTGTGAAAGGGGTCATCAGTACAAAAGTTTGAGAACCACTGTGCTAGCCTGCTGCAAACTCAGACCCAGGTCTGAACCATGTCTCCTAACAGCTGTAGGCTTAATTGAAAGCAGCTTAAGAAGTGTTCCCGTCTTTAACACTCAGATGCTCAACTACCAATGGGGTCCAAACCCCAAATAAATCCATTTTACCCTGTATAAAGCTTATACAGGGTAAACTCATAACTTGTTCGCCCTCTATAACACTGATAGAGAGATATGCACAGCTGTTTGCCCTCCCTTCCCCCAGGTATTAATACATACTCTGGGTTAATTAATAAGTAAAAAGTGATTTTATTAAATACAGAAAGTAGGATTTAAGTGGTTCCAAGTAGTAACAAAGTGAATTACCAAGTAAAATAAACTAGAACACGCAAGTCTATGTCTAATACAGTAAGAAGACTGAATACAGATAAAACCTCACCCTCAGAGGAGTTCCAGTAAGCTTCATTTTACAGACTAGTTTACTTCTAGTCTGGGTCCAGCAATCACTCCCACCCCCTGTAGTTACTGTCCTTTGTTCCAGTTTCTTTCAGGTATCTTGGGGGTGGAGAGGCTATGTCTTGAGCCAGCTGAAGACATAATGGAGGGGTCTCCCCAGGGTTTAAATAGATTTCTCTTGTGAGTGGACACCTCTCCCTCCTCCTGTGTAGAATCCCAGCTACAAGATGGAGTTTTCGAGTCACATGGGCAAGTCACATGCCTATGCATGCCTCAGAACTTACAGGTAGCAGCCATGGTTCACATGCTACTTTGAACGTCCTCAAGTAGACTTCTTATGTGGATTGGAGTCTTCCAAGATTCATTGTTTGTTAAGTGTTTCTTGACTGGGAACTTAACTTGCAAATTCCTTTCTCAAGAAGCTGACCAAATGCTTTACTAAAACTACTTAGAAATCAAGCAAGTACACAGCCAATATTCATAACTTTGAACACAAAAATGACACATGCATACAAATGGAATGAATAGATTCAGTAGACCATAACCTTTACAGAGATATGTTACATGGCATATGTAGCATAAAACATATTCCTGTTATGTCATATATATACATTCAAAAGCATATTTCCATAAAGCCTTATGGGGTGCACCGTCACAGCTCTCCATTTCCAAACTGTAAAGTGCACCTGAGGGTGAGGGCATGACTTGTAGTTAGATGTGGAGACTATCATTCCCCTCCTACATGCACTAATTCAGTGGTTCTCAAACTATTGTATTGGTGACCCCTTTCACATAGCAAGCTTCTGAGTGCGACCCCCCCTTATAAATTAAACACACTTGTTTATATATTTAACACCATTATAAATGTTCAAAGCGGTGTTTGGGGTGGAGGCTGACACCTCGCGACCCCCTGAGGGGTCCCAACTCCCAGTTTGAGAACCTCTGCACTAATTAAAGTAACATGCCCATTTATTCTTTTTGAGAGTTATTCCATTTCTGCAATCCATTCCTTAGAAAAACTTACCCCAAGTATCACAAAAAATTATAATGTCTAGACTGATACAAACATGCAATACATAATGTTCTGGTTTGGCTGGGCTGCTTGTACTCAGAGGGTGTTAGCTGGACTTGCTTTTCTTTCTCCCTTCTCTTAATTAACCTACAATATTGTGATATGTAAACAGTTGCAGCCTCTGGGATCCCAAGTGTATAATGTAGGGCCAGATTTTCAAAAGAGCTCAGCCTCCAATGTTCCAAATGTTTTTGAAGTTCTGGCTCCAGCGGTGGGAGCTGATCACTTTCAGACATGATCATATCTCAAAAACACACAAAAAATCCGCAATAACAAGCAAGGAATTTAAAGTGTGCGTGGAGTGGAATCTGTTAAGCAACATTGAGAATAAAATTCCTAACCTTTGCACGTATGAATATTTCAGTTATATACTGCAACAGCCCTGTGTATGCTCCGCCCTTTTGAAAATCAGATAGGATTCAACATTTGTAAGTTATATACACCCTCTTGTTTCTGAGCATAAGTGAAGCTTCTAACTGATGCGGTTAAAAAGAAACTTACTCTGTGGGGGCAAGATATTTCATATTTGCCTATTTTAGGATTTCTTCCACCTTCAAAGGGAAAAAATTACATTTCTCTTCTAGCCCAGTTAGGTGGTACCAATCAATTATAGAATATCAGGGTTAGAAGAGACCTCAGAAGGTCATCTAGTCCAACCCCCTGCTCAAAGCAGGACCAATCCCCAGACAAGTTTTTGCCCCAGAACCCTAAATGGCCCCCTCAAGGATGGAGCTCACAACCCTGGGTTTATCAGGCCACCGCTCAAACCACTGAGCTATCCCTAGAGACAGGATATGGGAGTAGATGGAACACTGGTCTGATTCAGCATGGCTGTTTCTCTTATAACATAATTTACTGGTATTAGCGTATAGCTACTTCATTTTAAATGTGTTTGTTTCAAAAACTCATTTTGGTGTTATAGAAAAAGCATCTCTTTCCACTGTGAAATAGTTTGTAGTAGAAAGATAAGAACAGACAGGTATAAACAATGACAACTTTGTTTTGTATTTCTGGCACTGGACTGGTACTCAGGAGACCTGGGTTCAGGTCATGCTCTGCCACTGAATTCCTAAGTAACCTGGGCAAGTCACTTAATCTTTCTGAGCCTCAGTTCCTTATCTGTAACATGACAATACTTCTTTTCTCCCACTTTTTGTTCTATTTAGATTGTAAACTCTTGAGGGCAAAGACTGGGTCTTACTATATTCAGGGTGTTGTGACGATAAGCACATTAAAGATTGTGAGGTGCTCAGATACTTCAGTAATGTGGACAATATAAGTAACTACTCTTAGCTGGGGCTTGTAGGTGCTACTGTAACTAAAATAATATATCTCATTAAGGTTACCTGGACTTCTCCATTGAATCCAGCTGTCTCCTGGCAATAATTTGTATCCTAGTTGGCATGTTCTGTTCTCATTTTCCACTGCCAACAACTGAGTGCTGCAAGTCTTGCCCATACAAATAATTCTCATTCACACACATGGTTTCATTGAAGTCAAGGGGATGGCTCTGATAAGTAGAGCTCATAAACATGAGAGAAGCCTTGCATGATGATGCCCTGAATCTGGAGTGTCAAGCTTCCAACTTCTATAATAATAATAATTTAATTTTTTTAATTAATGGAGATATCCCATCTCCTACAACTGAAAGGGACCTTGCTAGGTCATTAAGTCCAGCCCCCTGCCTTCACTAGCAGGACCAAGTACTGATTTTGCCCCAGATCCCTAAGTAGCCCCCTCAAGGATTGAACTCACAACCCTGGGTTTAGCAGGCCAATGCTCAAACCACTGAGCTATCCCTCCCCCCAATAAAAAACTGAGAGGTATTAGCCGTGAAGTGCTACAGAAAGGACATTGCTGAATCCAGGCACACAGGAGCTATTTAAATCTGCCTGTTTTGTGCCTTTGAGGCCTCCAGCAGTCTCTCCTCCCTCATGTAGCTGTGCTGTGTACTTCAAAGAAAGCTGGGCTGCTTTAAAACGTAGCTTGTACTTAAAGCACCACCTCGGGACCAGTCAGTCAGTTCCCATTTCAACTTTTTAATTAAAAGTCAAACTGTAAAGCAGGCCGGCCACAGCTCTGTGCTGGAGCTTGGCTAGAAGCGAAATGTAATTCTCCCCTCTGAAGCTGGGTTACTTCAGCGGGACCAGGAGAGAAACTTCAAAGGCTGCTGTGTCCCTCATCCGGTCCACTGCCAAGTTTCCCAAGCAGCCGGCCTCTGACAAACCCTTTATCTATAGATCTGAAAAGGAGCCAATTTACCTTTAAAACAACTGAACTCCCATTAACGTCAGTGTGAGCGACACATGTATCAGGCAGATAGACTGGACGCAATACAGCAGCTGCTCTCTATGGCAAAATGAGTTCATTTCCAGTCTCAGAGCTGGCTAATAATTATTTTAAATGATAAAGAAAATGATAATCTCCTTTTCAATGTAATAGGCAATAGAAGAAACCGTTACCCTTACAAAGGATATAAATGCTCTTGTGAACCTTGTAGTGAATGTTTGTTTCTGTATTGTTAACATTCCCTACATCCAGAACCCTTCTTTTTCTTGCATGTAAACTACTGCTTAAGTCGATTAAAGTTACGTCGCTCAGGGGTGTAAACCCCTCCCCCGCGAGTGACGTAACTTACATCGACTTAACATGGTGTCCACACTGTACTATGTTGGTGGGATACGCTCTCCCATTGACATAATTAATCCACTTGAACAAGAGGCAGAAGTTATGTCCATGGGAGAGCGCTCACCTATCTTATCGCATCCTCATCAGACCCGCTAAATCAACGCTGCTACATCGATCGCAGCGGCGCCGATGTAGCATGCTATGAAGACAAGCCCTTAGATAGAAGCTTTCAGTAATTTCATATAGAACCAAACATATACAAGAGGACAATGATTTTTGCTTTCAGTTGTTTGAAATGACCAGAGGCCATGCTTGAGAATTCCTAGGCCAGGTTGGATGTGAAAAGGATCAATTTTGTTAGCTGATAGAACTGTTCAAACACAGAGAATGGCTAATGTTCCATTACCTGAAAAATTAGAAAAAAAGGTGATTTTTTTTTCTTTCAAAATAGATTTTCCTCGATGCTTGTAAACTACTTTTCAAGGGCCTGGGCTCCCTTAAGGTGCAGTTATGTGCACCCATGGATCTCTTACAGCAATTTATTTTCTGTGCCCTATTTCAACTACAGCCCCAATCCTACAACTGGGTACGAGTGGGGGACCCATGCAGAGCCTGATTCATTTCAACATGGATCAGCTTGTAGGATAGGAACCCAGATTTCTTTCCTGGATAGATTTTTGCCTCTTGTACTTACATCAGAACAGAATAGGTGCTATACTTGTTTTTCTTCCAATCAAATTATTTTAGAGCAGCACATTTGCACATAATGTGTTGTTTAATGTAAATTCTGCTCCAAAACAGGTTTTTCTATAACACGATTGCTCAGGTACACGATCTGCCTGACTTCTTATATTTCTTGTTAATAGGCACGCGAAGGAACGGAAGAAGGGCCGGCAGTGGTGAAGGAAGCTGGCCTGATTGATAAACTAACAGCTCAAGGTATTTTTCAAATGGAAAACACAAATTTAAATACAATTAACATTATCCGTTATAAACATACCAACAAGTACATAAGCAATGCTCTGGCATCTTTAATGAAAAAAAATGACTGAAACGTTTAAATAAAACCAAAACACTATGTTTGAAAATTTGCAGAAAATTGCAAAGTGCCTAAAAATCACAGAAGCTGTAGAAGTTTTGTGCTCACAATTTTTTGTCACCCGAGGGGATTCCTTAACTGTTTTGAGACACTTACCTTCTCCATGCAAATTGACCCAGAAGCCCCCATTCTACCCTGCCTCTCCCCTTGGCCAGCAAAAGCATGTACTTATTTTAGATTTCTGGTGATGTCATCTTAGCAGATCCTCACTTCGTAAGTCCAAAAGTAGATTTCCCCCCCAGTCGCTTACTGTGTAACTTTATATTTTGTGAAGTCTAGCCAAAGGAGGGCTAACTATACATCAAGCCTGGCCTTTCAAATGTGTGTGAATGAAAAAAGCAAGCTTAGCTGAAAATATGTTTCCCATCCCCACCCCTCCAAGCTCAAAACCACTGGAGAGATGTTCTTCAAACGTTTCTGGAGTGGAGGGAAGCTGCCTATGTCACAGCCCCAGTGGTGCTTGGGAGGCTTAGAACGCTGCAGAAGTAGCAGAACCCAACATTTGTTTAGCGTTGAATGAGCTACTGCCTCCTCATCTGACAGAGCGCTGCCTTGTACTTGTACACTGCTGCCTACCTGGTACTTATATGGCCCCCCTGGCCATAGTATCTGAGTGCTCTACAGAATTGGATGTATTTATTCTCACAGCACCCGGGAAGTAGAGAAGTACTATTAGCCCCATTTTTCAGCAGGGGAACTCAGGCACAGACAACAAAGTCATTTGCCTAAAGTTACATGGGCAGCCTGCAGCAGAGCAGGGAATTGAACCAGGGACTCTCAAATCTAGGACAACACCGTAACCAGTGCACCATTACTAATTATTATTATTGGTATTCCTGCAGCACCTTGGAGGACCAGGACTCCATTGAGCTAGGTGCTGTACAACCACAGAACAAAACACCAATCCCTGCCCCCAAGAGCTCCCTTCCCTCTAAGGTAGCGGCTAGCTCCTTCCTCACCTGCCCTTGTTGACCATCTCTTACTACTCAGGAGGGTGAAAGTTTGCTCTCCTACACATAGGTCTCTGGAAGCCATGCTAGTAATAGCAGCATAAGCGCCAGCCTCAGGATTTTCAGAATGGTAACCTAGGCAAATGGGCGAGTTGGGTTAGAAGCTGCTCAATAAGGATCTAAAGAAGAAAAGCAGAGTTATAGATTAAGATGCAAACAAAAACACACATCCAAACATAAAATAGGTTTACAAATTACATGTGATTTACCCCATATCACCTGCTACACAATAATGTTCAATTGTTTTCAACAGGAAATTTTAAATGAAAAATGTACTTTCTTGTGATCTTTAACTTTTTCCTTCCACTGTGCTAATCACAGGGTGTGATGTTAAAGATTATGGCGCCTTGCAGTTTGATGACATTCCCGATGACAGACCATGTCATAATGCAAAAAATCCCAGAAGCGTTGGGCACGCAAACGAGAAGCTAGCCAGCGCTGTGGCAGAAGTGAAGAAGAGTGGAAGAACCTGTTTGGTTGTTGGCGGGGATCACAGGTCCTTTGTTATACTTGTTTGTATAAAAGCATGAATGGCTTTCAGAGCTGCACAAACGACGCAAATGAAGAGCCAGTTCATTTTTAGCTAAGTCCTTTCAGTTCAGTTTCAAGACTAGCAGTTGTCTGTTAAATCTGATCAAAAGCCTTTCCCCATTCCAACACCCCTTTAAAGAGCTTGGTAGAAAAAATAATCAGCCATTCAAACAAGCCAAGGCAGTTTCCTACACAGCAGTGTTTGCATTTAAAAAAATGTATGAGGAACCCTCATTCCAGCAGAGGTTAACCTTGGAGTTTTATGTAGATTTGGGTCCCTAATTTTACGCAGTGCAAATAGTTCTAGGAAGGGAGGGGTGGGTAGTTAATGTGGCTGTTCACCAAAGCGCTGATCCAGCAAAGCACTCAAGCATGAGCGTAGCTTTAAAGAATGTAAATAGTGTTGGGATTCCCTTGGAGCTCTCGCTTCATTCAGCTTCCCAAGAACTCAGTTCGACTCTAGATTTAGTCACCCAGGTATCATAATTTGGCATACAGCAATGCTACGCTGAGTTGATCAGGGAACATCACAGCTCCAAAGTTATACAGAAACTATTTCTCTTTGTACACATTCACACAATTCATTACATTTACTAGACACTGCATCACACACTTTAGGATCAGATTGGTTAATCTGTAGGAACCGATCCCAGTACCGCATGCTCTATCCACCTGCTGTCCATTTTAGATTTCCTCTTTACCTCATTCTCTACACTCCTAATTTACTTTGTCCCTTGTTATCTAGTTCATAGTAAATAGTTCCCTGGGTGTTCTCCCTCTCACTTAGCTAGCTCACTCATTGTCTTTTTAGCCTTCTGACCCATCTACTTATCTTATTTAGCACAAAAGTCCTGTTTTCAGCCTGATGATTCATTTACCTCCCTAATCCTATCTTCCAAAGAATGAGGCCTCCACACAAGTGTTAATTACTTCAGGCCAGGTCTCAACAACAAAGAGTCTCATTCACTTCATTGGGACTATTCAAACTGTGCATCCTTAAGCACTTGGGGCCTCCCAGCAAAGTGAAGGGGACAACTGACATTCTACACATGCGTGAGTGCTTTGCTGGATCAGGGCCCAAATTACCATTCTTGACCAGGGCATCTGTGCAGTATGCGAACTCGCTAGCCATTCTCCTGCCAATGCTCCAGAGTTTTGCCCTGTGCTTCTGTGAGAATGCTGACCCCAAGCTCAACTCCATAGTACACAGGAAGCCACACCCTTTCCTTTTCCAGCCTTCCTCTTCCTGAATTCTCCCCACCCAGAAGAAATATAGCATTTCCAGTGCACGAGGAGCCTTCCTTGGCTGCACTGTGGGCTGCAGATTTTCATCCTCAGAGAATGGTTTGCAACAACAAATGCTTTTACAAATAAGTTTAGCATGGTGCTGTGAGAAGGAAAATATGTTGTGTGCTGTGCCATGTAATGCCTGTGTTTACGCACAACTCTCTGTCTATTCAGCTTGGGAATTGGAAGCATATCTGGCCATGCAAAGATTCACCCTGATCTTGGTGTAATTTGGTTTGACGCCCACACTGATATTAACACTCCATTGACATCGTTATCTGGGAACATGCATGGGCAGCCTGTGTCTTTCCTTCTGAAGGAACTGAAGGACAAGGTAATACAATTGCCATCACCTCTTTACATTGCAAGTATCTTGGAAACTTGTCCTAAATGGATGTGGGTTCTGCTCATCCTCTGCTCCCCCAATTACTACTGTAACATTTAGAATTAGTAACGGAACACACCCGCCTATTTCCTCATATTGGGACCCCTTCTCCCCTGTGGATCACCCATGGCTCCTGTGGGCAAGAAGTCTGGCAGTCCCTGCCCTGAACCCTTGGGGTCAGCCAGGAGCTTCAAAGCTCTGCCTCTGGTCGGGAGCCAAGGTAAAGGAGGACCCCCAAGGACCCAGTGTCCTATGGCTCTGATTTGCGGGCAAGGTTTGATTTTCAGCCTGCTCTCAATCCATCCAACCTTTCTACACTCACATTTTGGGCTTTTTAAGAAGTCAAGCCTTATTCTCTCCCCTCCCCCCCCCGCCCACTTTGAGGATGAGGCTGTTTGTTGTGGGTGTAACATAGTAAAAATAAAACCTCTTTTGATCCTCTGAGATGCCTGATGTTCCAGGATTCTCGTGGATAACCCCGTGCCTGTCTGCTGAAGACATTGTGTATATTGGACTAAGAGATGTGGACAATGCTGAACAGTGAGTCTAGTTCCTCTCTCAATAGTGCTCAAAAGCCACATTTCCCTTGCCTAAATGGATGTGTGGTGTTGCTGTAGACTGCAAAGTAGGTGCCTCCTTGACCAGTGTGAGGCTTAATGTGATGTGATTTGGAAACAACTGGCTAGGCAGCAGTACTGCAGAAAATAATCGGGGGGTTTGGGAGAAGCAGGATAGAATGGATCACAAATTGAATGTGAGCCAATAATGTGATGCGGTTGTGGAAAAAATCTAATATTCCGGGGTATATTAACGGAGTGTTGTATGTAAGGCACAGGAGGTAATTGTCCCGCTCTACCTGGCCCTGGTGAACCCTCAGATGGAGTACTGTGTCCAATTCTGGGCACCACATTTTAGGAAAGATGTGGCTAAATCAGAGTGTGTCCAGAGGAGAGCAACAAAAATGAGAAAAGTGTTAAGAAAACCTGGCCTCCAAGGAAGTGTTAAAAATAAAATGTGTTTATTTAGTCTTAAGAAAAGAAGACTGAGGGGGGTCTGATAATAGTCTTCAAATATATTAATGGCTGTTATAAAGAGGATGGTGATCTATTGGTGTCCCTGTCTATTGAAGGTAGGGCAAGAAGCAATGGGCTTAATCTGCAACAAGGGAGATTTAGGTTAGATATTTAGAAAACTTTAAGTATAAAGGATAGTTAAGGACTACAACAGGCTTCCAAGGGGGGTTGTAGAGTCCCTGTCTTTGGAGGTTTTTAAGAACAGATTAGACAAACACCTACCAGGGATGGTCTAGGTTTACTTGGTCCTGCCTCAGCCCAAGATTACTATGATTCTATGATGGGAGAAAATAAAGTAGAAAATAGGCCCTCCTTCCCCAAAGACAGCCAGCCAATGCACAAAATCTGCAATATATAAATCAAGAATTGCAGGGAGAAGACACTATCTTTAAATATCACCTCACCTCAAAAGGTCATGCTAAATTCACCAGAAGTAATTTCCCTCCCCTCCTCTCGTATCGGATTCCTCTGCTCACGTTCATAAGTGAAATGTTGGGGGAAAATCCAGTGCCTATGAAGACTTCCTTCCAAACTGCTCAACCCCTTTTTGCTGACTGAATGAAGCCTGCACCCACAGCCATCAACACATCTTCTTTACCTTTGGCTCTCTCCTCAAACCAGATGCCTGCTCCTCTCCTGTGCTGAGGAGTCTCTCCAATTTCTTCAAAGAGAAAAGATGCAATCCAGCAAGAACTCTCACCTTCCTGCCCATCCCCTACCATGTACATTTCATCTTTTTCACTCCAGTCTGTCTCACAGGTCTGTCTCCTCCTTGTCCTCTAATGCCCAATCGATCCTCTCTACATCATCTCTTAGCTTTCCCTACTTTTCTTTACCTCCTCTCTTATCCTCCCCCACCCATCTGGTTCTTTCATCTTCAGTCATCTGCTTCTCCAATCAAAAACCAACTTCGATCAACTGCTCCTGCCTGTCCCCTCCTCTGTTTGTCTAAACCAGCACGTGTATAAATACATACGTTTTAAATCCAAATTTAAGAACTTAAATATTGATTTGTAGGCATCTAAATGGTGACTTAAGGTATCCAAATTCCAAACTAAATACATATTTCAAATGTAACCAATATAGATTAGGTGCCTATATATGCGCTTAGGTACCCAAGTTCAAAAATTAAGCACTTCAATATGAGCAGAATACTTTACTTCTCTCTCTTACTTTTATAATTCATTCACCTGGTTGATAATTTGTAAGCAGAATTAAAATGTAAAATTTACTTAATATTTGTACTTAGGTTCTCAGATGGAAGATAACATTTCAGAGGTCAGTACATTTACAAAATGCTGAAAAAACAATGTACTTTTAGTTGCATTCATAAGCCGTTAATGTGTCTGCCATGTCTCTTTCAGCTGTATTCTGAAATCTCTGGGTATTAAATACTATTCGATGACTGAAATAGATCAACTTGGGATTCAGAAGGTGATGGAAGAAACACTTTGTTATTTGCTGGCCAAGTAAGTAAAGAAACTATTTCTTTTTTTTTTATACAGAATAAAAATTACACTGCAACCCATGCTCAAAAATGGTCAGGTAAATCACCCCAGAATTTTGAGATCCCAGTCAGTCACTGGAGTGCTCCAGGGATGCTGAATAGATACCTGCCAGGACAGTACAGCAAAATTGTTCTAGGGCAGTGGGAAAAGAGGTCCTCTATATGTAATAGGACTATGTGATTGTGTTAAAGTTCAACAGATCTAAGAGAACACGGCACATTTTGCCTAATACTCATGCATATAAATCAAGCCCAATTTATGTACTGACAATCTGAACCCAAAGATCAGAAAAACAAAATTTCTGCCCTGACCGTTACAGGAGACCCACTAAGTATCGTTGATCCTATGGTCAAAGATCACTTCAAAACTCTCCTGTATGACGTACATTTAAAACACAGTGGTTCATTTTAATGGTATTTAAATTGGTATCTAATTTTAAAAGTTTGAAGTGAATACTCAAATCCGCCCCACTGGCTGCTCACAACTGTGTCCAAGTCTCTCTTTGGCACTGGATGAGTACAATGGAAGTCATCAGGCACTGGTCTAGGCCCCTGGGTAACTCCAGAGGCCTCTAGTGTCTTCATGCCATGTACTTTATGGCAGGGACTCTTTTTGTTGTTTGTACAGTGCCTAGCACTATGGGGGTTTGGTTCATGTCTGGGGCTCCTAGGTGCTACGGTAACACAAGTAATAGGTGCCTTCATACTGGCTCTAGGGTGTTCTTCCCGCCCACAGATCAAACAGAGCTAGGCTGCTAGGGCTTCCCCCATCTGCTGCTACCGTTGGAACTCTCCCCTGCTCAAGCAGGGATTCCTCTCCATCCTTGGGGCCTACAGTCTTACTGAGGGTAGTGAAAAAGGGTAGTAGTAACAGGAAGGAGTGATAGGATTACATTTAAAAAACAGCACAGCTTTAGGCGGAATTCAGGGAAAGCTTCGTCGCAGGGAGATTGTAAGACTAGAACAGTCTCACATCGGGAAATGGTGACAGCATCATCAATTTAGCTCAATTTTGTTCATTTTTCTCTAGTGAATATATTCACAAAAATTCACGTCCCGTGACCTGTCCATGACTTTTACTATATACCCCTGACTAAAACTTACGGAAGGGGGGGGCAGCTCGGGAGGGCGGCCCGGGGGTGGGAGGGAGGTGTTGCGGCCCGGGGGGGTTCCATAGGTGCTCGGGGGAGGGGGGGTGGAGTTGCGGCTCAGAGGGTGCCGGGGGGGCTGGAGCAGGCTCCCTACCCAGCTCCTGGGAAGCAGTGACCCCAGCTCCTAGCTCCACGTGCTGCCTCCGCTCTGCCCCAAGTCCCAGTTCTGCAGCTCCCATTGACTGGGAATCGTGGCCAATGGGAGCTGCGGGGGTAGTGCCTGCAGGCGGAGGCAGCACGTGGAGCTAGGAGGGAGCGGAGTTGCTGTTGCCCCTCTGGGGAGCGCCCCACCCCCACCCCAGGTAAGCACCGCCCTGCACCCCAGCCCCCCCACACCCAAACTCCTGCTGCTGGGGAACTGGGGGGGCCCAAGACTGCTCCAGCAACCGCCGCTGTAGAAGTCACAGAAGTCACGGAATCCATGACTTCTGTGACAAACATGGAACCAATTTACAATCTGTTCCTTGCTTCACTGTGCTGCAGTCCAAGGCAGTATGTCATTTCATAACTTCTTTATGTGGCACAAATGTTTTCTAAGTAGGACTCAAGCAAGAAGCCTCAATCAGGGGGCTTAAGTTTTTCCATTGTTTGTGAAGAACATTTTCACAGGACCACTTTACAGCTTCTGTTTAATTTTATGCTTTTGATTTCCACCAATAAAGTAAGAAGAGACCAATTCACCTAAGTTTTGATGTTGATGGCTTGGATCCCTCTCTGGCACCAGCTACAGGCACCCCAGTTCCTGGAGGAGTGACTTTGAGAGAGGGTATCTATGTAGCAGAAGAACTTTATAGAACAGGTACAATAAACACCTGAAAATTCTTAATACAGGTTTAGATTTAACATTTGCCATGTCTACCTACAGCATTTAAAGTGTTATGGTGAGGGATTTTCCAACTTTGAGGTACATATTGGATTTTTGCACTGCTTTAATATAAGAGGAATTCACACATCAAATAAGAGAATGTGATATTCACTATTGCATAGTAGTCATGTAGGATGAAGGCTGATGAGCTCACAGTTTAGCTGTGGATGTCCAGAGTAAAACCTGAGTTTTAACTATAAATTAAGAACTAAATAAGTGAGCATTGCCTAAGGCCTTGTCTACACTAAAGGGAAACGTTGATCTAACCTACGCAATTTGAGTTATGTGAATAGATCCACACTATTTTTTGAATTACGTGAATTAGATCCACACTACGCGACGTCGATGGGAGACGTTCTCCCGTCGACTCTCCTTACTCTTCTCGATCAGGTGGAGTACAGGAGTTGATGGGAAAGTGATCGGCGGTCGATTTAGCGGGTCTTCACTAGACCCGCTAAATCAACCGCAGATGCATCGATCGCTGCAGCGTTGATCCTCTGGTAAGTGTAGACACGCCCTCAGCCATACCTGCCATTAAAATTACAATAAGTTGTGGCTCTGACTAGGAGAAAGAAAAGGAAAAGAAAAAGAATCCTACTTGCCATGCTTTATTTGGAATCTATGGACTGGGTAGTGACACAGACCTGGCAGAGCTCCCATTGCTGAATACTCAGCAGACTCCTATGTTTGAAATTCAAGTACTGGGTCATGCATGCTATTAAGCCCACTGAGTCTGAGAAACAGAATTGTCAGGCTCTCTTCCAGTTTATAGACTCCCTGGCTGGTACCCCTTTTTGTAAGTAGGACCCCATCATCCAAATGCAGTAGGCTTCAAGACCAATGCTGAACTACCACCCCCAAGTCTCACCAATAACTTAAACATACCCTTCCCCCGACACTTAACTCAGCAAGCATAAGAGACTTAAGATGTGTGCAAAAGTAACAAAGCCTTCACAAACATCTCTCACCCTCCTTTGTCCTCACCACGCAGAGCCCTTTGGGTTTTGGTCAGTTCTTTTAGTGTCCCAAGTCCTTCCTCTCTCCTGCTCAGTCTTGTATTCTTGTCCTGGTCACTGAGAGGCAGCTGCTAAGAACAGGCCATGTACGTTTATAACTTTAAGCCCCCTCTGACATGGAAACCTCCTGGTCTCCCCGTCAGGTGATCAAGGCCCTCCATTAGGTGATCCGTTTTTTGGTTACCACTCACCAAAGTCCAGACTGGAAAAACTGGTTTCTTGCAGCTTGCAACCTTCTTTAGTGTACCCATTGTATTGCCAGAGAAAAGTAATTCAATGTTTACAGCCCTTGACTGCTTTGCAATGTACACTATCACCACCTCTTGGAATTCCAGTCCAAAATAAAGGCAAAAAGACAACAGGGAAGGCACAACGTTATTGTAGCTGTGTCGGTCCCAGGATATTAGAGGAACAAGGTGGATGAGGTAATATTGTTTATTGGACCAACTTCAGTTGGTGAGAGAGACAAGCTTTCAAGCAACACAGAGCTCTTTTTCAGGTCTGGGAAAAGTATTAAGAGTGTCACAGCTAAATACAAAATCAAACAGATACATGTAGTTTAGCATAAGTATCTGTTCTAAGGGTCCATTCAAATCTAAACTTTCAGGAATACTTTGCCCACAGCATTCTAAATAGTGAATCCAGATGATCTCAAACCAGTGTGGCCACATCTGGTATTATCACCTCACCTCTTTGCCTACAGCTTAAAACAACATTAGGATTGAACATTTAATCAAAGCAGAGAAAGTGTCACCCTCTCTTAGTATAGGAAAAGAAAACAAAAGTATTGCTGAAGAGTGGAGCTCATTAAAATTAAAACTGGAGGGGACAGAATAGTGAGTTAAATAGCAAGTTTTGAATACCTAGATGTTCTGGACCCAAAGGTTCAAATATCCCCTAACATCTCCTCATCCTTCCTTCAGAGAGATTAACTGTACCATATAGCTTACTCTCTGTGCAGGGCTTTTGGGTAAGACCTTTAACTGAGGTCCTGTCTGCTCTCATAGCACATTTTGCATGAATAGGGATTTACTAATTTCTATAGGCTACATTTCCCATGCTGTCCCTACTGTGTAGCACTCCGGTCTCTGCGTAGCTGTTGCACTCCCACCACAGCTACCCGTGTGTTTTAGTGGCATTTAGTTTGTGATGTGCTTTGTCAATTCACTGGAATGCAGGTGTTTGATAAAATGTAAAAACAGACACAAAAAGTTAGAAATCACCTGCAACTTTGTAGTATGGGACCCCCAATAAGCATAGAGCTGATGTAGCTGGCTCCTATGACTTCTTCTTTACACCCCTTGGCTCAGACGACATATTGGGGGTGGGACTGAATGGGTCCTGGGCACTAGGGGGAGTATCCAGAGCATTCTGCACTTTGGCTATACCTCAGGTAGTGTATGAACTCTTGGGGACAAAGCTAGCTGGTTCAAATTACAGTAGCCCCCCAACGATGCCTGAGGCTGAGGATTAGAGTCATAACTAGCTCTCTGATATCAGCTCCTTGTTGTTGTGTCCAGCAGAAGATGAGCAGAATATCTGACTCTAAATAGCTGCTTTGTTAATGTTGGTAAAGAAGAAAGGCAAAACCTAACAGGAGGAAAATACATCCTGCCTTGGAACCTCTGTGGTAGTGAGTTTGGAATTTCTTGACCTGAAAAGAAAATTATGCATCAATTGAAAGTTTTCTCAGTATAACTGTCATTTGTTATTGCAGGGTTGCTATCAGCAGTAGATATAATGGAGATCAATCCGGCTCTTGGGAAGACACAAGAAGAAGTTAACACAACGGTCAACACAGCTGTTTCAATTATCTTATCCTGTTTTGGTAAAGAACGTGAAGGTTCTCATAGTCCCAGTTACCGTATACCCAAGCCACAAAAATCCATCTGAACATATATAATTAAGTTCCAAGAAGTTTTTCAGTCCTAAAGTATAATATTTTGTTAATGACAGTTGCTTACTGAATGACTTTGGTAATCTCAAGCAAAAAAATAAGCTTTTCATCGAAGCTCAGTCACTAATGAGACAGTAATTCTCACTCATGCTAATGGAGGCTGGTGAAGTAAAGTGTCAGATTTGCTCATACTGTTTTAGAATTTGTCATAAAGTAGAAAAGTCAAGTCAAACCATTTATTACTAACATTGCAGTAAATCACATTATTACTTCTATTTACTGACCTTGTTTTCGTTGCTATCTATAAAGTTCCTGGTTCGTTAAAAAGAAAGTGGACATTTTTCTTATGCACTAAACTAAGTTTTCTGGAAGAGATTGCAAACTGTTAGTACTAGATAATTGTTCAACAAATTTCTACATGCAAAAACAGCCCACTACTTAGTAAGTAACATTACTTTAGCTCACCTTCTGCATTACTAAAACTTGAGTCAACACATCCAACATGTTATCTTACAAATTAAAAAGAAATTGACATTTTAAAATACCAAGTAACTGGATTTGGGAAGTAGTTTTATAATGGGTATGTATGTTTCATTATAAATGAAATATTAATTAACTTTATATTGAAATTTTGCAGACAGACTAATGTACAGATGTGCTCTAGGCATTATTTTGGGGAAGTTCTATTGCCTATGTTCTACAGGAGGTCAGAATAGATGATCACAATGGTCTCTTCTGGTCTCAGAATCTATGGTTTCATAGAACCATAGAATGGGAATGCACCATGTGAACTCCCTCTGGTGGCTAATAACTAAATTGAACTTCTTCCAGAGACTGATCTCAGTTAAGTCAGATAACATTGGCATTACAGACAGTTGTTCAAGTCTTACTAGATGAGTTTCCTCTGATCAAATACATTATATACAGAAATACCTAGGGTGACCACATTTCCCTAAGGGAAAACAGAATACTGTGTGGGATAGCCCGAGCCCCTTCCCCCCCCGCCAACTGCTCACCTGAGCCTTGCGTCCCCCCGCGCGTGGAGCTGGCATCGCCGCTCACCCCCTCCCTCCCCTGCATGTTCCACCGCATCCCACCCCACTTTTTTGATGAAAGTGGGCATTTGTCCCATTTGCTCTTGAGAATTGATAAAGTTGGCAAGAGCAAACAGGAAAACATGCCCACTTTTGCCAAAAAGTCAGGACAGCTGGGACAGGGCTTAAAAAAGGGACTGTCCTGGCCAAAACAGGACATATGGTCACCTTAAAAATACCAGATCATTAAAAACAATCAACTACGTGCATGCCTCTGCATTCTCCATGCTGCCTCCTACACAGAGAACAGTCTCTCAATTCTTATGCATCAGGCCCTTCTTTCACCTCCCGCAAATCTGATTATTCATACCTGCTGTGTTTGTCACAAACATTAACCCATGCTGCCATTGCCTGGGCAGCTGAGGGTCTCACCTTCAGGTTTAAACTCTACGATCAGCCACCCAAATGTAGGACTGAAATTGTACACAAACTATGCTTTGCTGTGACAGTCATTTAAAGCATTAGCAAAAAAACGCAACTTCTAACCTAAAGCATTCAGTCCAAAGTAGGCAATGTTAGGCAAACAATCATTTCTTTTTAGACCACTGACGGTTAAGATAAGAGATTAAAGGACACTCACATCAAACAATGCTGGTATTTGTTTCTGTTGGTCAGGTACCTTATTCCAATGGTCTAGGGCAGCAGTTCTCAACCCACGGAAGTAGCACACAACTGCAGCCCAGCTCAGCTGTCTGCTAAAGGCCTGCCTGCATGCCCAGGGTCTGCCGGGTTCCCAGCTGTCTGGTGTGAAGGGGTCCGAGCTGCCAAGCGTGGAGGGGTCCAGCCAGGCTGCCCCACCGCCCAGGGTGGCGGGGATGGGGTCGGGGCTGCTGGCCTGCCCTGCATGGTGGGAATCCGGAGTCACGGCTGCTAGCAGGCCCCGTGGGGTCAGGGCAGTTACCCAGCCCCACGAGCTCTGGGGTCCAGATCCAGGGCAGCCGGCCCACCCCTCATGCTCCGGGGCAGCCGGCCAGTCCCGATGGGTCTGGGGCTTCTGGCTGGACTGTCAGGGTCCAGGGCCTTATTGAAATTCCAGGAGGCAGGCGGGCAGAAGCCCATCCACATCTAAAGGCCCCTTTCCTAGCCTTGTAGGAGGAACCATTGGACCTGGGATCCAACTGAATATGGGGGACAACTAAGGGCATGGAGCGGGGGTCATAGGTTCAAAATTAGGGATGCAGATGGGGACACCGAGCAGAGAACCTCAGACAGCCCCACGGCTCCTCAAAGCTGTCTAGGGAGCCAGCAGATGCCGCCCACAGGAACTCTGCCCGGATATGAGACAAGGGAGGAACAGAAATAGGCGCCACAGTCGCAGAGCCCCTCCCTGTCCAGCATCCTCCTCCTGGTATTGTATATATGGCCACTTTGGAGCTTGCCAGTTCGCTTTCAAACCGTGCCAAGGGAACAACTCTACACAGCAGGAGAAGGTTGACTAGGAGGTCTCGCAACTTCGTGGGGCCATGGACAGGGTGTGCATATTTGAAAAGGTGTGGGGAGAAGTACAGCCAGAACTTCAAACAGAGATTCTGGAGGAGCCGGAATAGGGGCTGCAACCTGACGCATTCTAGATAGACATGCGCCAGGGTCTCCCTCACACAGCAAAAGGGGCAGGCGTAGGGGATGGGGGTGAACCGCGCTAGGTACACGCCCATGCTTACGGCTCTATTGGGGAGCCACCAACTGACATCCTGGGCAGGCCATGGGACTAGGGTGGAATATAGGTTGGTCCACTGGGATTCCTCACCCTCCACAGGTGGTAGAAGGTCCTGCCACTTGGTATTGTGGAGGGACACGATGGTGAAGAAGTGAAATGCGTGGAGAATGAACGTGTAGAGTTGTTCCCTTGGTGTGATTCAAAAGGTATCTGGGGTGGGCAGCTGGCCGGCCATGTGGGGCCCAGGGCAGCTGCATGGCAAGGTCCAGGGTAGTCAGCCATCCCCGCGGGGTCCAGGGCAAGCAGTGGGGCGGCCCACGCAGCGAGGGACGGGGTCAGGGCTGCCGCTGCCCTGCCACCTGGCCCCTGTGGACCACAATGTGTAATCAGTTGAAAACCACTGGTCTAGGGCAACAACCTCGGAAGCCTGCTAATGAGCTTTGCATACACATCAAAAGGAGACTATATCCCAACACTTATGTATTTAAAAAATACTTAAACCCATTGGACAGTAATTCTACCACCTAGCTAAAGACAGAATGACTCAGGAGACTGTTAATGGGACAGAGAGCCTTTCAGCTTTAGGTCACAGGTTCAAACCCAGGCTGGTAGTGGCCAAACATGATCTTTTGATGGCCTCAGTCCAATTTCACTTTTTGTCATCTCTGCATAGGCCAGGAACTGAAGGAGCTTAGACACTGAGCTACTAAACCCATTTATGTACACAGGTAGAATAGAGGGAGAGGGCTAATTTATATTGTTGCAGCTTGCTTAGCGAAGAAACAAAAGATTTCAGGCTCCAATTTTAAAAGGTGAGAAAAACCTCACAGGTTTTAGGGTTCCCAATAGCTCTAAACATTTGCTCCTAAAGGCAGGAGGCCAAATTCTCTGTTACTCTCCACGCAAGACCAATGACCGTAAATAGGTGCTACGCAGAACTGCAGATGTACATTCTAGTCCCAGGCCAACCCCAAGAATTATTTCTACATAGTATAGGACTATCCTGTAGTGTGCGTGCACATAGTAGTTGCTATTGTTCGGTCAGAAGGCACACACGCACCAGTAATGAAGCTTGATACTTATGCAGCATTTTTCATTCATACATCTTAAACCTGTTTAGAAAGGTGAGCAAATATTATCTCAGTTTTACAGAGAAGTACATTGAAACACAGAGAGGTAAGTGATTTGACCAAAGTGATATAGCAGACCCGGGAACAGAACTCAGCCCTTCTGCGTCCCAACCCTATCAATTGACCCTTTGGCTCTGCCCCAGAATAACCTTTGGAGAGGCCTCTGGAGAAGCAGACTAAACTTCCAAGATGTGTACTGGATTTCTGGAGGGCACCTAGGTGCAATGTGTTACCAAATCCAGTCTGGCAGACACGAGAATCACTTAACTCAACTTTGGAATGGAGCAAGACAGCTTTTTAAACAGCACGCAGAAATACTACTGTTCCTGTCCTAAACTGTTGTGAAGTTGTATAACTTATGCAAACTGTAAGATGAATATAGGTAAGGCAGTTCATAATTACTCACACTGGACCACTTGTTAGAATCTTGGGGGGTATGACAATATAGTGCCTTCTAACACTATGCTAGGTGTTGACTATGCAGACTGATGTGAAGAATTCTTTCTACTGAAACAACACTATCTTTTAAAGCACCAGGGCTTTCAGCAGGAGGTGCTCATGAGGCCTAACCTTACTCAAGTTGTGAGTTCTGTGGAGATCATCATCTGAGATGGTATTGTTGTAGAACTGAAGATTTAGGACACAGAGACTGAGATGTTCTAATTAACCCCTATTTTTAAACTGAAGAGCATGGCAAATAAATATTAAGGCGTAAGATAGCAAACAGTATTACCATAAACTTCAAGGGTTTTTTTAATTAAAAAATTCTTTAAAGATGTCAAATATGATCAATATTTTACAAATCTTAATTGAGACTATTTTCACTTTTGTTATCCAGTCATACCTGGTAAACAACTGACAGTACACACACACACACACACACAATTAAAATTTGAAGAATTAAAGTAGTGGATTATACAAACCTAAAATAAAGCTTGGATGTGATAAAAATCCAACCGTGACTGACTAATAAAAATTACACCATTTCCCAACTAGGGAAAATAAATATCAACCAGCAAATCTTAATTGAATACACAGATTTTAAACACAGTTCCATTTTAGATGGTCTTTGGCTAATAATCTAGCAGCCTGTTAGTTCACGCTAGATCAAAGCCACTGCTCATCTATTTACTTTAATGAAGACATCAGTAAATTCCCTAGTTTACAATGAGTCATTCACAGTCATTAAAGAGACTAAGGCCAGGTCTACACTACAGAGTTATATCGGTATAACTATGTTGCTCAAGGTGTGAAAAATCCATCCCCCGGAGCGACGCAGTCGTACCACCCAACCCCGAGAGTATACAGTGCTGTCGATGGGAGGGCTTCTCCTATCGACATAACTACCACCTCTCATGGAGGTGGATTAGCTACGCTGACAGAAGATGCTCTCCTGTCAGTGTAGCAGTGTCTTCACTAAAGTGCTGCTGCTGCGCCGCTGCAGTGCTGTATGCACAGACAAGCCCTAAATCCCCAATTGAAGAAAGCATTTAAACACATCCTTAACTTTAATCAGATATGCAAGTCCCATTGACTTACACCACTGGAACTTAAGCATGTAGTTAAGCACCCTCCCTGTGGGACTAAACTTGTTCATATGATCAAAAATCAAAAACATTAATTTTCACAGCTCAATCTCATCATGAGCGGGCGGTCAAGTAAAAGGGATTTGTGCACGCAAGATGTGACGGTGCCGCCTCTACTCATGTCGGATGGTACCTTATTACATGGGTAGTCCCACTGACTTCAAAAAGGCAGTATTCAAGATGAGTGAGGATCAATATCTGTCCCCTAGTGATTAAGTAGACAGTACTGGTGAATAACAATTGAAGAATCCATCTTTATGTTTAGTCCATGGATTAATATTCCATCCCAGGGTTTGAAGAGAGAATCTGGCTGACATTTAGGATTAACGTTTTCATTTAAAAGAAAACTAGGTTTTTACATACCACCATGCTAGGCACCTCTTGAAAAAGCTAATATAGACAGATAGAAAGAAGGAAAACTATGATGGTTTGAAGAGGGATATGGAGCTGCTTTACAAAATAGTCATCTTATCAGACATCCACAAATGCCACTGTTTGCAGCATACCTTTGACCAGTTCAACACATCCCTTATCTAGTCTCTGATATAAACAGGAAGAGTGGAGTGGAGTGCAGATGAGGCACAAACGGATTCACCACACAAATCAAAATGAAGCAGCAGGCTGGAGATGGTTCTCGTCCCTTGTTCCACAATGTCACCAAGTTCAGACCAAAGAGAGTTTCATCTTGATCAAGAGAAAAGAGTCTTCACATAGACACCAGTGTGATGTCCTGTTCTACTGTGTTACTGGCTAAGCAACATTAACAGGCACTTGGCTAGGCTGTGGTGCTGGAGACCCGCTGTTGATGGATTGCTGAGGAATAGCAGCTGGTTCCGTTTTGCTGATATGGGTTATGAAACGTAGACGGAGTTTCAAAGACGGTCTTAAATTGCAAATAATTTTCTCTACCTATAAAAAACAAAACAAAAAGAGACCCCTCAGGATACATCTACACTGCAGCTGGGAGTATGCTTCCCAGTGCAGGCAAATGGACATGCACTAGCTCTTCTCAAGCTAATGCGCTAAGCACAGTAGTGTAGCTGGGGGATAGCAAGGGCAGCGGCTTGGCTAGTCACTAAAGTACATTCCCAGGGGAGGCTGGGCAGGTTTGTACTCAGGCAACTCACTTGAGCAGCCACTTGTGCTACCCTGGCTACACTGGTAGCGCATCCATCCTCCCACGCTGGGAAGTACGTTCCCAGCTGCAGTTTAG